GGGAAAGAGGGAGACAACTGGAAAATTGCAGGAGCTCTTGCACCAAATCCTGACACTGAATTCCAAGAGAAATTTGCCACATCATCCCAGCTGCCTTACATTTAAGGAGCTTTTGCTGGGGTATTATGATTAAAACATTAATTCCTTCAAGCCTGTCCACTCCCACCACAGGAAGTATATATCTTGAGTAAAGCATTAAAACTTTACATACAGCTAGATTCTGACCTCAGGCTTGCAGTAATGCCACTGACGACTACTGACTTCACACCATTGAAAGAGCAGAAGCACATTCTGTAGTTCAGCTACACTCTGCCTGTTTCCTGCTGGAAATGATCATCCGGTTTCTTCCTCTGCAAAGTCAGCTTTTGGCAATGGATGCCCAGCTATAGGACCTGATGCTGGTCCTTCATCTGAAGTCACTGGCAATTATTGGTTTATTACTTGCTAACATTAAAAGCACATTTCAAGCACACCTTCTACACATAGAGCTCTTGTCTGACTGCATGAAGGTACTAGTTTTTTCTGGACTAACCTGATGTGTTTCCACAACTACAGTTTCAGACAGCAAGGATCTGAGAAGTGGTTTCTGTTCTCTCATTCCAACAAAAAAAATCTAGCTAATACCACTGTGATAACACTCAAGCGCAGCAGTCATTAATCTGGACAAAGTGATTTTTCACATAAATTGCCTTCTCTCTCCTTAAAGTTTCAGGGCCAAAAAGAAAATACATCACTGAAACAAATGGCTGCTAGGACAAACGAGCAGATTGAAATACAGAAGAGAGCAAGCAGGGTTAAGACGAGAGCATTCAGAAAGGAACTCAGCACAGAGCTGCTTACAAAAAAGATACCCTGGAAAAAAAAAAGTGCAGTTATTACCCTGCCACTTTGCATATCCTTTTCATAGTTTCAAAACCAGGCAGCCTACCTCTCTGCTTTCCACAGATAACCTGGAAGCAACTTTGTCTCTGAGCTCACCCACAAACTAACTTCACTTCATGAAAATGTGCTTAAATTATGCAGGTTATTTTAAGTCACTCACTTGAGTTTGGATGTAAAATACCTGTCTGTTCAGAAGTCCCAAAGCATCTGCATTCATCTAGGACTATAGGCGCAACATTTCTCTCAGGGGGGAAAAAAAATGCTTATTTGCAATCAAGAACAATATTTGAATTCAAACTGAACTTCAAGTTAGAAAATAGATCCAGAACTGCATCTCTTGACTTTCTTTCCTTATCTGACAAAGCAAATGCTTTAAAACTAAGTATATTCATCTGCTCCCATGCAAAATATATATTCCCTGGTTCAGGCTGACAAAGCCAGGTTTTCAATCCTCAGCATTTACCTGCGCATTTAAAAAACTGTATGCAAGTACATAGGTCCAAACATCTCCAGGTACCAAATATTAAGAGTGCGTGCTCCAGGGCTTCAACTGGTTTCTCTACTGCCCACAGAGCACAGGTTAGACATTCCTTAGTCAGCAGAAGGCAAAGTATTGCAGTTGTATTAGCTCAGATATCACTCTAAGGTACCTGCACAGCTTCTAGACCCAAAGGGCTTAGCAGGGACAACACAGCCTGTGCAGAGGCTGCTGACAGTGAGTCACACCAGAACAAAGAGGAGACACATGGCTTGAGCCCAAGCAGATAAGCTCAGCAGGAGCCATGATTTGCGGTGGTGATGTCAATGCAAGTGGGTGACTGGAGAAGAGGTGGCAGCAGCATAAGAGGCAGAGAATGAGAGGAAGGACACAGGATGGGTCTGGAAAATGGGTTA